TATGTATTCATAAAAATTTACAGAACTACACTAAAAGGGAAATTTTGTTTGTAAATTAAACTTCAATAAACTTTAATTTGAAACAAAATTTATTTTATTTTATTTATTTATTTTTTAGATGGAGTCTTACTCTGTTGCCCAGCCTAGAGGGCAGTGATGCGATCTCAGCTCGCTGCAACCTCTGCCTCCTGGTTCAAGCGATTCTCCTGCCTCAGACTCCCGAGTAACTGTGATTACAGGTGTGTGTCACCATACCCAGCTAATTTTTGCATTTTTAGTAGAGACAGGGTTTTGCCATGTTGACCAGGCTGGTCTCAAACTCCTGACCTCAAGTGACCCGCCTATTTTGGCCTCCCAAAATGCTGGGATTACAGGCGTGAGCCACTGCACCAGGCCAATAATTTTAATTAACCTTCAATTAACCAACAATTTTAACCTTTAATTAACCAATAATTTTAATTTAACCTTAATTTGAATAAAATTATGATACAGTCATACAATTGTATATTATGCATTCATTTTAAAAATGAAGTGGATCCATATATGTGGGTAATATAATAATCTCTAACCTATATTCTTAGGAGTAAAAAGGAAGATACATGATATAGTTTGGATAATTGTCCTCACTCAAATCTCATGTAGAAAGGTAATCCCCAATGTTGGAGGTGGGGCCTGGTGGGATTGGATCACGGAGGTTGATTTCTCAAGAATGGTTTTTCACCATTCCCGTGTGATAGTGAGTGAATTCTCACAATATCTAGTTGTTTAAAAGTGTGTGGCACCTCCCCTCTCTCACTTGCTCTTACTTTTGCCACATGACATGCCTGCTCTCCATTTGCCTTCTGCCATGATTGTAAGCTTTCTGATGCCTCCCTAGAAGGTAAGCAGATGCCAGCACCACACTTCCTGTAAAGCCTGCAGAACTGTGAGCCAATTAAACCTCTTTCTTTATAATTTAGCCAATCTCAGATATTTCGTTGTAGCAATGCAAGAATGGCCTAATACATAAAATTGGTACCAGGAGTAAGGTATTGTTAGAAAGATACCTGAAAATGTGGAAATGACTTCGGAACCGGGTAATGGATAGAGGTTGGAAGAGTTTGGAGGGCTCACAAGAAGACAGGAAGATGAGGGCAAGTTTGGAACTTCTTAGAGACTGGTTAAATGGTTGTAACCAAAATGTTGATAGGGATATGGACAATGAAATCTAGACCAACAAGGTCTCAGATTGAAATGAGGAACTCACTGGGAAACGCAGCAAAGGTCATAACATGTTATGCCTTAGCAAAGAGCTTGGTTGCACTGTGCCCTTTCCCAAGGGATCTGTGGAAGTCTGAACTTGAGAGTGATGATTGCGTATCTGGCAGAATAAATTTCTAAGCAGCAAAGCATTCAAGATATGACTGGCTGCTCCTAAGAGCTTACACTCAGATACGGGTGCAAGTAAATGACTTAAAGTTGGAATTTATATTGAAAAGCAAAGCAGAACATAAAAATTGGGAAAATTTGCAGCCAAGTCACATGGCAAAGAAAGAAAAAGCTTTTTCAGAAGAGGAATTCAAGCAGGCTGTGGAGTAACCACTTGCTAGAGACATTTGCATAACTAAAAAATAACCAAGTGCTAATATCTAAGACAACAGGGAAAAAGCCTCAAAGCCATTTCAGAGATTTTTGAGGTAGCCCCTTCCATCATAGTTCCTGAGGCCCAGGAGACAAAAATGGTTTCATGGGTCGGGCCCAGGGCCTGGCCCCTATGCAACCTCAGGACACTGCTCCCCACATCCTGGCTGCTCCAGCTCTAGCCATGTCTCAAAAAGGGCAAGGTACAGCTCAGGCTGCCACTTTGGAGAATGCAAGCTGCAAGCTTTGACAGCTTCCATGTGGTGTTAAGAGTGCACAGACTGCAAGAATGGAGGATTCTTGGATGCTTCCACCTAGATTTCAGAGGATGTATGGAAAAGCCTGGCTGCCCAAGCAAAAGCCTGCTGCAGGAGTAGAGCCCTCACAGAGAACCTCTACAAGGGCAGTGTGGAGGGGAAATGTGAGATTGGAGCCCTCACACAGGGTCCCCACTGGGAAACTGCCTTGTGGAGCTGTGAGAAGGGGGCCACATCCTCTAGTCCCCAGAATGGTAAATCCACCAGCAGTTTATACCCTGCACCTGAAAAAGCCTCAGGCACCCAATGCCAGCCCATGAGAGCAGCCGCAGGGACTGCACTCTGCAAAACCACAGGGGCAGAGCTACCCAAGATCTTGGGATCCCACTTCTTGCACCAGTGTGCCCTGAATGTGGGACATAGAGTCAAAGGAGATCATTTTGGAGCTTTAAGATTTAATGACTACCAGGCCGGGCGCGGTGGCTCAAGCCTGTAATCCCAGCACTTTGGGAGGCCGAGACGGGCGGATCACGAGGTCAGGAGATCGAGACCATCCTGGCGAACCCCCACCTCTACCAGAAATATAAAAATTAGCTAGGTGTGGTTGCATGTGCCTGGAGTCCCAACTACTCGGGAGGCTGAGGTGGGCTAATTGCTGGAGCCTGGAGGTCAAGGCTGCAGCGAGCCAAGATTGCACCAGTGCACTCCAGCCTGGGCAACAGCGCAAGACCCTGTCTCAAAAAAAAAAAAAAAAAAAAGATTTAATGACTACCTTGATGGGTTTCAAACTTGAGGGCCCCTTCTTATGGCTGATTACCCCTTTTTGGAATGGGAATGTTTACCCAATGCCTATACCCCCATTGTATCTCAGAAGTAAGCAACTTGTTTTGATTTTACAGTCTCATAGGTGAAAGGAACTCATTTCCAGATAAGAATTTAGATATGGGACTCAGGACTTTAAGAGTTAATGCTAGAATGAGTTAAGATTTTTGCAGGGACTATTGAGAAGGGATGACTGTACGTTAACATGTGAGAAGGACATAAGATTTGTGGGGGCCAGGGACAGAATGATACAGTCTGAATATTTGTCCCTGCCCAAATCTTACGTTGCAAGGTAATCCCCAGCCAGGATCAGTGGCCCAAACCTGTAATCCCAGCACTTTGGGAGGCCAAAGTGGGTGGATCGCTTGAGTCCAGGAGTTTGAGACCAGCCTGGGCAACAGGGCAAAACCCCACCTCTACCAGAAATATAAAAATTAGCTAGGTGTGGTTGCATGTGCCTGGAGTCCCAACTACTCGGGAGGCTGAGGTGGGCTAATTGCTTGAGCCTGGAGGTCAAGGCTGCAGCGAGCCAAGATTGCACCAGTGCACTCCAGCCTGGGCAACAGCGCAAGACCCTGTCTCAAAAAAAAAAAAAAAAAAGGAAGGAAAAAAATGTAATCTCCAATGGGACCTGGTGGTAGGTGACTGGATCATGGGGGTGGTTTCTCATTAATGACTTAGAACCATCCTCCTGGTTCTGTTCTTGTGATAGTGAGTGAATTCTTGTGAGATATGGTTGTTTAAAAGTGTGTAGCACTTCTTCTCTTTCACTCACTTGCTCCTGCTTTTGCCATATGACGTGCCTGCTCCCCCTTTGCTTTCTGGCATGATTTTAAGTTTCCTGGGGCCCTCCTAGAAGTGAAGCAGATGCCAGCACCATACTTCCTGTAAAGCCTAATGAACCATAAGCCAATTAAACCTCTTTTCTTTACAATTTACCCAGTCTCAGATATTTTTTCATAGACATGCAAGAATGGCCTAATACACAGCACAGAATACTAAATACAGTATGTTCCCATTTATGGTAATATTGGCTGTCTCTGGAAGGGGCCTGGAGTGGCAGTATACCTCTTGTATTGTTTGAGGTTTTTTTTTGTTTTATTTTGTTTTCCACATGCCTATATTACTTTCAATTAGAAAAAGTAAAAGAAACCTACATACTGGTCAAGGAAAACTCACAGGTGTCTGGGCCAAGGGACTGAGTCATATAGGCTTGCAAAAACTTGTGTTAAGAATACAGAACACAAAGCCAGACACAGGGGCACTCAATAAATAGCTGGAGGAAGCAAAATATTTGGAATCAATTCAGAAGACAGACCCTGGACAAAGAGATCTCTATCTGAGCACTGGATACTCAGTCAGCATAGCCCTTGCTTTACACAAGGAGCTAAGCTGAGGCTGCTCACATTAGAAAAGAAAGGGAGCATAAAAACCAAATATCCTGGAGTTACTTTGGGGCCAGCTGTTTCTCAGCATTCCTTTGCAAGCACATTGTGTGTCTTAACCTCAGCCTTCTAAGGGATGGGAGGCAAGTCCTTCCCCCAATGAGCAGAGCCCACCCCTAGCACTCCTCTGGTGGTCCAAGTGCCCAGACAATCCTAGGCAGCCTTTCCTCCAGCCCCTCCAAATCAGAAGGAACAAAATGACTCTGACAGTTTCACTGCACTCCAAAGACAATCTCAGCACTTCAGCTCCTTTTCCACATCAAGGCTTCAGAAAAGAAAACCAAAAAGGAGGATGGATCGGTAAGCAAGATTCCTTAGCAGCATTTGGTAAAAGGAACTCCCTAGGTTATGCATAGATTCTGTCAGGTGCCAAAGCAGCCAGCAGCTCCAGAATGCAAAATGGACAGAGAAGGAAAGTGCTAAAACTCAAGACAGCCTCAGAAATTTCTCTTTGTTCCCTGCTTTATCTGGATATGCCTCCCTGAAGCCAGCTAGTTGGTCCCAGCTTCCAAAAAAGTTCATTTGGCCACTGATACTAGGTCTAGGAGCTTCTGTGCTTGGCAGCCTTCTCTGGCTGCCTCTGGATACCTGGCTTGCATGGGGCAACCATGTAGGTTATCCTTCTGCAGAAACAGGCTGTGCCACAAGGTGCAAGCTCCAGAGACAGGATGGGAGTAAGGCAAAGCAAGGGCATGGAGTAGGACTGGAGTAGGAACCAACTTAAAGGCAGAGTCCTTTCCAGGAACCCATGGTTTCCAGAGCATAGGAGAACATGACTGGCTGTGAGAGGCAGAGTTTCTGGCTCTTGGACCCCAGACCAGGCTGTCTAGGCAGTGGAGGAAACAGAAGCACTTACCGGGGGAAGATGGCCGTCATCAAGGCTGAGGCATAGCCAGGCTTGCAAGCTCCCTCTGAAAAGTTTGCGTACTTGGTGGCTAACTCAGCAGGCCTATGGGAAGAGAAGGAAAGTTACAGCTTGCCAGGTACTGAGCACTGAGTGGGTTATTAATTCGTAAGGAGCTGTAGGTGTTTGACTCTTGAGTGAAGCTTCATTCCTACAATCAGCATTTTTCCACATTAAGGCTTTAAGGGTAAAAACAAAATAAATCCCCAAACCCTAAAGGAATAGATAAATAAGTCAGGCCCCTGGATAGTATCTGTAAAAGGAACTTACCTGGATTCTCACAGATTTCTTTTTAAGAGACAGGGTTTCACTGTGTTGCCTAGGCAGGTCTTGAACTCCTGAGTTCAAGCGATCCTCTTGCCTCGGCCTCCCAAAGTGTTGGGATTACAGGCATGGAGCCACCATGCCCAGCTCATACTCACAGATTCTTTGCAGGAAGCCTGATACCAAGGAAATGAGGAGCTCTATCAAGGCTCCAATACCCGGGGGAGTGGTGCTTGGAGTTCACAGGATAGAGACACTCAGGCTTTGATGGTCAGAGCCCCTGGCCTTTCCACCTTCCTTGTATGTTCCTACATGGCCAGCCTCATCTGCTTTTATTCTCTCCATTCATGCTATGATCCACCCAGTAGGAACTATTCCCCAATAGTGGGAACTGTCCCGAACAGTGGCCGAATACAGACATGGTAAATGTATGTAATTGGAGTTATTGATGTAACCATTAGACTTTTAGTTGAGGATGCTTTCCTGGTCTCTCTGCCTGGAATGTTATTCCTTGTCCTTCTTCATCTGGCTAATAACTACTGGTCCTTCATGATTAAGCTTAAATATCAGCTTCACTGGGAGTGATTCTCTGACCCTCGGATTGGGCTAAGCGCCTCCTCTGTGCTTGTACAGTCACTCCCCCTGCCCCTCACATCATATACTTACCCCCAGCACTTGCTATTCTGTATTGTAATTTTTGGTAGTATGTCTCCCTTGACACACTGTAAAATCCTAAGGTCAGAGTCTGATTTAACCCTGCCTACCCTCTCCAGTGCCTTGCATAAATGGGCACAGAGAAGACCCCTATAACTTTCTTAAGGAACAAAATGACCCTGAAAGTCTCACTGCAGACAACGCAATCTCAGGAACCCGCAAGGCCGAGACTGCTGCATATTTTTCAGAGGACTTGTGTTCTAATCCTGGCTTGTTGCTGTGTGACCACAATCATGCCACCTCACATCTTTGGGTTTCAATGTCCTTATGCATTCAATTTGGGTCTGGAGTCACTGTCCTGCCACCAAAATCTCTGCACCATTCAGTCTAGAGAAGATCACAACCAAAGAACAGGATATAGTCAGTGAATGGGTTCTGTGGGCTGGAGGCCCTGCATGCTGGGGCACCTGAGTGAGCCCTGGCTGACTGCCAGTTCTGAGTCCCCACCTCCTCCACCCCCACCCTTGGGCCTGCTGCCAACACTCTGGTGCCCAGCTGCTCTACTGTGATGGGGCCCTATGGGAAGCCTACCCTCCAGGATGCCTTCTGCAGGGTCTGGGCAGGTGGGTGTGGAGTGGTGGTACAAGAAATGATGATGCCACTGCCTACTGTCATGTCTGATTTACCATAGACCCCTCGGGCCTAGCCCAGAGCCTTACACAGAGTAACTGCTCATTGAACATAGACAAACTCATCTGATCAACGCACAATTTCTTTTAGAAATCTACATTTTCAAGCATCCCCCACCAAGGAAATTCAAAGCCTGAAATGCAACCTGAAGGCTGAGTGACAAGCCAAGGAGCTAGGACTTTATTTGGTAGGCAAAAGAAAGCCAGAATTTTAACAAGAGCAAAACAATCTTTTCTTACGTAAACAACTGTATTTTTGAAATGAAATATAAACCTTGGTGCAATTACAGAACTGATTACAAGCTTTTTGACTAGGCACAGTGACGAAAACGTTCTAGATGTTTTCAATTAGCTCTCTCAACAACTCTGTGAGTTGGTGCTATGAATTAATTTGCACACAAGGCCTAGAAAGATGAAGAGACTAATCCAAGATCATACAAGTGGTAGACACTGGATTAGAACACAAGGTCTCTAACACCAGTGCAGGAACTCTTAACAGGCCACTGCCACCAACACGGTCACAGAGGAAGGCACAGGACAGCACAGGAGTGGTCAACACAGTTGGAGACAGGGTAGAGAAGACAGTCCAGAAGGTCTCACAGAGCTCTGGTCCGCGGCAGTAAGGCATTTTGAGTCTCTTCATGTCCTGTCTCCCAATCTCCCACCATCTGCTTGCCTGCCTCGTGCTGTGAGTTCCTGTGGTCTTTCTGAATTCTAGAAGGTTTCATAAACAGCAGAAAGATGGACAGCAGGTGCCCTTCTTAACACAGTGCAGTGCAGAAATAAACGCACAACGGACAAACCTTTGGCCACCTTTTTTCTCTCTAGTTTGCCCCCTCAACTTTTGACAAGGTGCTTAAAGAAGAATGGCTGTGGGACAGTCCAGGGGGCACAGGATCACGTCATCTACAATGGAGAGGGAGCTGGAGCCCAGCAGGCAAGGCAGGAGATACTGCTGCCTCCACGGCAGTGCAAGGCAGTTCAACATCAAGGATGATGGGCTCCAAATGAACCCCTCATTTAGAAAGCGACAGTAACTCCTAAAACATACAACTCTGGGTACAGTGGGTCATGTCAAGTTATTACCAAATTAAAATGCCTTAGAAATGGCCTCCTGACTATCCCAGTGAGAGAAGAATAGGGGGAGTGTTGGGGATTCTGAGTCATCCAGCAGGCTGGGACCTCTAGGGCAGTTAGCGGTCAAAACCACCAAGATTAACTGTCGCCAACTCCCTGGGGCCAGAATAGTTAGTCTCTCTAAGGCACTCACACTCCAAATGCCAGCAGGCCCCCACAGATGTCTGATCAAATCACTCAGCCCTTGTTCTTCTCCTACTCTGCAGCTGGCCTTTCATTTTGGGAGATTTAGCATTAAACCCAGTAAGAGCACCCATTGTCCTGCAAATGTGACTACCAAGCCCCTGGGGTGAAGAGTGTCACCACTGCACTCACAAGAGGAAATCCAGATGGACAGGCTGGAGTCCCAAAGAAGGAACCAGACGCTTCCACTCTCCTGCTTCACTCAGGAGGAGCGAGTTTAAGGAATCAGGCCAAGCAATGGGTCATAAACGGGAAAAGCATCAGATCTGGAATCAGAAACTTTCACAGAGGACACTGACAAGCAAGTGATGGAAAATCTGATTTTCAGCTTCCCCATGTGCAGTGGAAACCACGTAATTCCAACAATCGCATGAGGATGTGGTGAGGGAGCACATTTGGAGGGGATGCCTATCCTCTGGGGTGCCACACACACGCTGTGTGAGACGCGTGGCTGCCATGAGCGCCTGGCTTGGGTTCAGATCCAATCACAGGGAGAGTCACCACATGATATCCAGTGGGAGGGTGCCCTGGCTGGCGTGTGTCTGAAGGATCAGCATTTGGGAGGCGAGGAGTAGCACTGCAGGAGGCTGAAAGAGCAGGAGAGTGTGATGCTGCGGTGAACGAAGTATCACAGGAAGGACGCAGAGACCAACTGCATCACACACTGTGCAGGTCCAGTAAGGTGTGGCCACAGGACTAACTGCTGGATTTGGCAACAGGGAGGTCACCAGCGACCTCAACAATAGCCATTCCACTGGAATGTGGAGGTGAAACTCGTTTCACTGGGTTTAAGAAAAAACAGGAGGAGAGAAACTGAAGTCATGAAACACAGACTATTTTTAGGAGTTCTGTTACAAAGGAACAAAGAAATGGGGCAATAGCTGGAGCGGGGAAGCAGGGTAAATTGTTTTTTGAGGTTAGGAAATATTTTCCTAAGTTTAGAAGCTGGTTAGAATAAAAGAAAAACTCACGATGCAGTAGAGATAGGACAGTTGTAGGGAGAATGTTTCTTTTTGTTGTCTGTCTGTTTTCTGAGATGGAGTCTCACTCTGTCGCCCAGGCTGGAGTGCGGTGGCGCAATCTCGGCTCACTGCAACCTCCACCTCCCAGGTTCAAGGGATTCTCCTGGCTCAGCCTCCTGAGTAGCTGGGGTTATAGGCGCCCGCCACCATGCCCGACTAATTTTTGTATTTTTTGTAGACAAGGTTTCACCATGTTGGCCAGGTTGGGGGAGAATATCTTTGAGAAGGCAGAGGGGGAAAGATCTAGCACAAAAATGGAAGGGCTAGCCTTAGCTCTACTCCCTTAGCCTGCCTTGGCCAGAGACGCCTATTCTCTAAGCACCACTTCCCTTGCGAACTTTCCATGATGCTTCCCTTCCCAGGTAGAATAAACTCATCCCCCTGTGGACCTGAGCTACCTGGGGCAGACCTTCATCTTCGCTTGCTCACTTATTCCCCTACTCTCCTACTGCCTTCCCCTTTCTGCCTCTCATTTCTCCTGCAACAAATATTTAGAGACAATGAAGACACTCTGCTTGGATTTTTATCCTGGCTCTCTTAATAGCTGTGTGATTTGGGGCGTGTCTTTTCAATTGTTTTGTGCCCTTAATTTCCACAACTTTAAAACTGGGATTACACTAGTACTTATTTTATAAAATTTTTTGTAACAGTTACGCTGAGAAAGAAGGGCTGGCACTGCGTATGGTGCCTGGCCCCTTGTTGGTGTTCAGTACATGCTAACTAACTGGCCTGGGATTAAGGATACAATGATGACTAGGACATAGTTAAGGCCTAGCATTACACTTCATTACACTGAAGAGTAATTGTCTATTTAAATATCTTTCATAGAATATGATCATTTAGCATAGCATGTATGGCACAGAGTATACAAGTACCCAATAAAATGCTGGACTGAAATCAGTTGGTTACCTTGCCTTGGAAGGTTAATCAACAGTAAGTGTAAGGGGGAAGTAGGGTGATGGCCAGAGAAACTGGGAAAGGGTCATTGATGGTTATTCCTGAGGACTCTACAGATCAGTGATGGACATCATGTAACCAACAGTCTAGTTTCTAGAATCACTGCAGAGAGGACCGGACTCAGATCAGCCCCTACCAT